ATATAGAAACCAGTAGAAGAAAGAACGGAGCACAATAGAAGAATATGCATAATAAGGCAAACATAAGAACACAGGAGAAAGGCATGCGAGGTAAAAAAGAGAACATAGAAACATAGCATAGATAGATTCACACAAAGAAAAGAAGAAGAGGAGTCAGAAAACATTTTAAAACTTTTTCAGAAACCCTAAATCGAAGAGAAACAAATTTTGAAAGAAAAATGGTAAGGGGTGATCGTGGCCGTTGATCAAAATGATCAACGACCTGGATTAAAAGAAAAGGCCAGGCGGGTTAATTGGTCTGGTCAAGGGGTCGGGTTACAATTGATATTGGGCTGGTCTAATTGGGAGTTTAGGATTGGGTCAATTGGAGGGGTCAATTTGGCTATAATTGAAATAAATTGGGGCTATATACTAAATAGCCAGTTTTGACTTTTTATTTTATAAAAAATAGTAAAAATGATTCTGAAATTAAATTAAAAGTACTAAATCAGTAAATACTATATAAATATTAATTTAAAAATATTGCAACCAAATTTATAATTATAAAATTCTATTAATCTTAAAATAGGCTAAAATTNGAAATTAAAAATGGCAAGGGACGATCCTGGCCGTTGATCAAAATGATCAACGGCCTGGATTGAAAGAAAGGCCGGGCGGGTTAAATAAACGGATTAAGGGGCTGGGTAAAATTGAAATTGGGCCGGTCCAATTGGGGGGTAGGATTGGGTCAATTGATGGCTAAAATTGAAATGTAAACGAAATGAGGCTAAATGTTAAATAGCCAGTTTTTCCTTTTATTTTATAAAAAATAGTAAAAATGATTCTGAAATTAAAAGTACTAAATCAGTAAATACTATATAAATATTAATTTAAAAATATTGCAACCAAATTTATAATTATAAAATTCTATTAATCCTAAAATAGGCTAAAATTGCAATTATATGCAATTTAGCTTTTAAAATACCAAATAAATTTGTAAAAAATATAAAAAAATTACCTTAACTATATTTTGGTATAAATATGGGAAATAAAACAAATTATTCACCAAAATAATAATTTTGGAAATAATTATTGGTTTTTATACTGCTAAAATGGGCAATAAATCGATTTTAAAAATCTTTTAGAAATTAGGAAAAATACTAAAACACTTTGGCATGCTTATATATGCATGCATATGTTATTTTAAAAATATATATAGGGAAAATTGGGTATCAACAGTACTTAGATTTTTGCTCTTTTCTCTTTTTCTTTTTTGGAGGGGGGTCTTTTTGCCCCTTAGTAGGATATTCTCCATTTTGGAATGGAATGACTATTGTCTTTTTGCTGTATGTTTTTGGCTCTTTTCGTTTTTCTTCGTATGCTTTTTCCTTTGTAAGAGTTCTTGACTTAGTTGACGCGACTGAGGTCGAATGTCAATTAATTTGAGCAAGGTCGAACGGTGGTTGATTCGAACAAGATCGAATGTTAATAAATTTCGAACGAAGTCGAATGTTAATGAATTTGAACGGAGTTGAATGTGAGTCCATTTGAGCGAGGTCGAGTGTGAGTAAGTTTGAGCGAGGTCGAATGTGAGTCGATTTGAGAGAAGTCGAATGTTTGACCCTTTAAGTTATTTGAATGAGGTCGAATGTAAATAAATTCGAGCGAGGTCGAATGTGAGTCGATACGAGCGAGGTGAATGTCTGACTCTTTAAGTGATTCGAACGAGGTCGAATGTGAGTCGGTTCGAGCGAGGTCGAATGTTTGACCCTTTAAGTTATTCGAACGAGGTCGAATGTAAATAAATTCGAGCGAGGTCGAATGTGAGTCGATTTGAGCGAGCTCGAATGTGAGTCGATTCGAGCGAGGTCGAATGTTTGACCCTTTAAGTTATTCGAACGAGGTCGAATGTAAATAAATTCGAGCGAGGTCAAATGTGAGTCGATTCGAGCGAGGTCGAATGTAAATAAATTCGAGCGAGGTCGAATGTGAGTCGATTCGAGCGAGGTCGAATGTTTGACTCTTGGCGTAATGTATGAACTTGGTGTAGATGAAAAACTCATGTGTTTGCATATTTCGTTTTGTTTATACATTCATTGGAGAAGTTTACATAAGTTGAAGTTTGCATGTTTTTCTGAAGTCCCAATCTATCTAGTCCCTTCATTGGTCGACCTAGAAAAGTAGTTGATAGGTAAGGTAAAAAAGAGTTATACTCGGGAGACGTCTATCCTTAGAAGTTGAATTATTTGAGGTTGGCGACGTTCCAATTGTTTGGTAGTAATTTTCCTTCCATTGTTTCCAGCGGGAATGACCCTTTGCTAGCTGCCGCCGTAATTTTGTATGGGCCATCCCAATTGGTTCCTAGTTTGCCTTCTCGTGGGTCATTTCTTGCTTGTGTTTTGGCTTTGAGTATGTAGTCCCCGACTTTGAGTGGCCTGATTTTGGCTTTTTTGTTGTAGTACCGTTCTGCCTGTTGTTTTTGAGCTATCATTCTTATGTAGGCCACGTCTCTTCGCTCTTCGGCTTCATTGAGGTCTTGCCTTCTATTCTCGTCGTTGCTTAGCCCGCTTTCATTTGAGTATCTCAAGCTGGGCTCCCCGACCTTGACTGGTATCATTGCATCAGTCCCATAGACTAGTGAGTATGACGTTTCCCCTATGCTCTTCTTTGGCGAGGTGAGATATGCCCATAATACTTCTGGTAGCAGTTCCGGCCACAGACCCTTGGCGTTTTCAAGTCTCTTTTTCATGATATTCAATATAGTTTTGTTAGAGGATTCCTCCTGGCCGTTGCCTGCGGGGTGATATGGCGTGGAGAGTATTCTTTTGATGTGCCATTTTTCAAAGAACTTGCGGTTTTTTTCCAGTGAACTGGGACCGTTGTCGCAGCTGATTTCTTTGGGGATACCGAAGCGACATATGATGTTTCTCCATATGAACGTGATTACTTCTTGTTCGCGTATTTGAGCGAATGCACCTGCTTCTACCCATTTGGAGAAATAGTCATTTAAAACTAGAAGAAATCGTACATTACCTCGTCCCACCAGGAGGGGTCCGACGATGTCTATTCCCTACGTGATGAAAGGCCATGGCGTTGTGACTGAATGAAGGTGTTCGCCTACTTGGTGAATCATGGGAGTGTATCTTTGGCATTGATCGCACCTTTTGACGAAGTCGGCAGCTTCCTTCTTCATCGTGGGCCAATAGTAGCCTGCTCGTATGAGGCATCTGACGAGAGCTCGGTTGCTAGTGTGAGCTCCGTAGTGTCCCTTGTGTACTTCTTCGAGGACGTGCCGTGTTTGATTTGGCCCTAAGCACTTTGCTAGGGGCCACCAAATGTTCTTTTGTACAAGTCATTATTGACGACGCTGTACCTGGCCGCCTGCTTTCGAAGCTTCTTGGCTTCTTTTTTATTGGGTGGGAGCACTCCGTCCTGCAAGTATGAGATAATACAATTGCGCCAGTCCCAGGTTAGGTTTATAGAGCGTACCTCGATTTGGTCTCGCGATGAATGGAGGAGAGTGACCATGTCCCTCTCTCCGATTATGCTTTTGGTGGCCGCTGCCAATTTGACGAGGCCGTCCGCTTCGATGTTCTACGCTTGAGGTATTTGATCGAGCTAGCATTCGTCAAACTCGGGTAATAGTTTGCAAATCTCAGCCTGATATTTCTATAACCGGTTCTCCTTAATTTGGAAAGTCCCTGCGACCTGATTGACAACGAGTTGCGAGTTCATTGAAGGATCACTCTCCGTGCTCCGTATTTGAGTGCCAATTTTTACCTTTTATTTTCTCATACCAGGACTGCACTTACAGCGACATCGGAGACGGCCAAGTAGACAAGGAGGCGTTCCCCGAGTTCTGCCATAGCGAGCAACAGTGGCGAAGACAAGTAGGCCTTCAGTTCTTTTAAGGCGTCGACGCATTTGGCATTCCACTGGAGTCCGTTATCCTTTCTGAGTACACCGAAAAATTTGTGGCACCTATCGGAGGACCGTGAGATGAATCTTGACAAGGCGGCTATTCGGCCGGTCAGCTTTTGCACTTGCTTTTTGATGGTTAGATTTTCTGGGATTCCTTCTATGGCCTCGATTTGGTCGGGATTGACCTCGATGCCTCGTTGTGATTCCAAGAATCCGAGTAATTTTCCAGATGTCACGCCGAAAGCGCATTTCTCGGGGTTTAATTTCATGTTGTACCTTCTGAGTATGTCGAAGGCCTCCCTCAAGGGGTCGATATGGTCTTCCTTTCTTTTTGACTTGACCAATATGTCGTCAATATATACTTCCATGGTCTTGCCGAGTTGATCTTTGAACATTTTGGTCACCAGCCTCTGGTACGTTGCCCCCGCGTTTTTTAACCCGAACGACATCACTCAGTAGCAGTATATCCCCTGACGGGTAATGAAGGTGGTTTTTTCCTAGTCCTCCTCCTCCATGAGGATTTGGTTGTAGCCCGAGTAGGCATCCAAGAAACTCAGCAGTTCGTGCCCGGCTGTGGCGTCGATGAGTTAGTCGATATGAGGTAGCGGCAATGAGTCTTTGGACAGGCTTTGTTCAGGTCTGTGAAGTCCACACACATTCTCCACTTACCGTTCTTCTTTTTCACCATGACTATGTTGGCGACCCACTGAGGGTACTTCAATTCTCTGATAGAACCGTTTACTAGTAATTTCTCGACCTCTTCACGAACTGCGTCGTTTATTGCAGAGTTGAACTTTCGTCTGATTTGTCTTACTGGGGGGTAAAATGGGTCGACGTTCAACTTGTGAGTTCCTATCTCCTTTGGGATAACTGGCATGTATGCATGGAAAAAAGCGAACTGGTTCGCATTATTTTTTAAGAATTGATAAAATTTACCTGGATCTTGGAGTATGGTCGATGAAAGCTTTTTTGCAGTGATTGTCATCGTCTAGTTGGACGGGGTCGAGGTCCTCTACGATTGACCCTGTGGCTTCTATGCTTTCAAGGTCGCTAATGACGTTTTTTGCTTCCTCGCCATCTGACCCCGACTACGTTAATTGCTATGCTTCCTTGGCTTTTCCTTTAAACTGTTGGGTGTATGTGCAATCTTGGGCGATGCGGTAGCATTCTCGGGTCGTGCGTTGCTCTCTCCGGATGCAGAATACTCCCCAGGGGATGGGAACTTTAATGACTTGGTACAAGCTGGAGGGGATGACTTCCATGGCGTGTATCCATGGTCGGCCTATGATGGCGTTGTACGCCGTATCCTGATCCATGATGTGGAACGTGGTCACCAATGTGAGGCCGCCGCCCAAGACGGGCAGCGTGATTTCTCCAGATGTCTGCTCAACTGCATTGTTAAAACCTATTAGCGTGATCCAGCGTGGCACTATCCTCTCCTCGAGCTTCATTTGGGTGAGAACTCGAGGATGGATGATGCACGCGCCGCTTCCATCATTGACCATGATACGTCTTACATCAGTATCAAAAACGCGTAAAGTAATGACAAGGGTGTCACAATGAGGAAAGACCAAACTGTGGGTATCCGACTTATCGAAGATGATACTTTCTTCGAGTTTGTCATACCGTTCATGGGTGATTGACCTCTTGAGCTTGTGAGTGGTGGTGAACTTCACGTTGTAGATGGACGCATCGTCGCCTCCTCCGATGATCATTTGAATGGTCAGAACTGGGGAAGGTGGTTTGGGTGGCCCCAAATGTTGTTCTCGCCCTCGGGCGAAGTTGTCCCTCCCTTGATCGCTCATCAACTCTTTCAGGTGACCTTGGTGAAGCATGTTCACGACCTCTTGCCTAAGGGCGATGAAGTCCTTGGTCTTGTGACCCCATTCCTGGTGGAATTCGCAGAGGGCGTTTGACTTTCTAGTGCGTGGGTCGGACTTCATCTTCTGTGGCCATTTTACTTTTGGGCCGAGCTTTTCCAATGCGTAGTCTATTTCTGAGGGGGAAACACAAAAATAGGGAGATGATAATAAGGGGGCATACCTCTTTCATTTTGGTGGGTTCCCGTTCGCGGCCTGGATGGACCTTCGTCGTGACGTGGAGGTGGCATGAGAGTGCCTCTGATGTAAGGTTGATGTCTTTCTCAGTTAGGTCGTGAACCTGCTAGATCTCTTCTGTTATCATTTCATCGGTCTTTCCTAGACTCTATTTGGACCGAGGTCAGGGGTTGAGTAGGCCCGTTGAGATCATCCTCCTCGGCTCTTACCTCGGCATAATAGGCATTGTGTGTCTCATCCCAAGTGGTTGAAGGGTATTTCATGAGTCGGCTTAGCAACTTTTTGGTCACCCGCAACCCACTTCTGCTCAGCCCATTCTGAAAAGCGGCCACCGCCATTCTGATACATTCGGAAGGGTCATTCTTACACGGTTGAACCGAGCGAGGAAGTTCTTGAGTCCCTCGCCAGGAGATTGCTTGATGGCGAATATGTCGTTCATCCTTGCCTCTGCTTTCTTGGCCCTGGTATGGGCGGTGACGAACTTATCGACCATTTCTTCGAACGTTTCTATGGAGCGCGCAGGTAACTACGAGTACCAAGTCAGGGACACACTAGTTAGGGTCTCTCTAAACTTCTTCAGCAATATGAATGATACTTTTTCTTTTGCAAGGTCATTGCCTTTCACTGTAATGACGTAGTGGGTCATGTGATCCTCTGGGTCCGTCGTGCCGTCATATATTTTCAAATATGGCGAATTTTGAAAGTTTTTGGTATAGTATGTGGTGCAGCCTCGTCGCTATATGGTTGTTCCACAAATCGGCCGGCATCTCATTTTGGTAGGAGTTTTCGGGCGCCCGGTATCTTATCTACCCTTTCTTGATTCTCTCTCATTTGGTCGCGGAGTGCTTTGTTCTCGTTCTCCATCTCCTCCATTTTTATAAGGATGGCAGCAAGGGCGTCGTTACCTACATCATTAACAGTGTTAGTGATACCTGTCGAGGGAGGCTATTCGTTGCTTGTTGTGGCGATGTCGACTCTCGCACTCTCTACTCACCCTCTGAGCTTATTTGTCGAGTATATTGTTTAGTGTATTTTTTAGCCATGCTTCTAGTAACTTTTTTACCACTGGTGGTGCTTCTTCCGTGGTGGACGTAGAGGCTCCCTTTCCATGAGCAGCGGTAACGCTGCCATGAGGAGTGGGTGATGTCACGCCCCAAAACCGAGGAGCGCGACCGGCGCTCAACCGAGTAAACCCATCCGAGTAAGCCTGTTAGATTTCATTCTACCCAAAGTCATCCTTAAATAAAGAGGAGATGTACTCCATTATTCAAACTCTGAAAATAATTAATTGACAACTTTCATTTTGGTTCCATTAGCAGTTTCAACCATAATATCCAAAATTTTACATGTCTATAGTTTCTTTAAAAACATGTTTGCCAAATACCAACATTACTAGTTAAATCCCCAACATCAAACACCACCCACAATATGTCTACGGAGCCTCTAAGTATAACTGAAGAGTAATATGAAAATGCCGGCAACAAGGCCCCAACTATACCTCAAAAAGTGGTAATTTATAACAAAAGATACACTGCATAACCCCTGGAAGAAAAGGGGGCTCACCAAGGCTGCTGAGAGGAGGATGCACCGCTATCTACGATCGGCACTGTCTGCTATGGAACCACCTACATCCATTCAAAGATGTAGCGCCCCCGGCAAAAGGGACATTAGTACCGTGGAATAGTACTAGTATGTATAACTAAACACCATCTCATTAGAAAGAACAAACCATACAAGAATAAAGAAATCATAAGGATTAACAAAGCTTTAAACAATCACCACATCATCAAATAAGGGATCACATTGATTTCACACAATTTCCATAGCTTTAGGTTGGGACATTTAATACTGTTACATCATCATTCACAATACCACCGCTTTCTTGCGCGGAGTCCGATCACGACCCTATCGGCTAGGTTGCCTCATTTGAGACATGTACCTCAGTCACAATTTCATTCTCACTTTTCGGTTTCAATATCAGCACAATACCACCATGTGTGCGGCATGGCGTCTGATCACGGCCCGATCGGCTAGGCCGTCTTACCAAGACGTTTTTCCTTTTCCATCAATCATCTCATTTCAATCTTTATTTCACATATATCAGTTCATCGACACTTGGGGCCACAATTATCATATCATACTTGGCACTAGGCCACATTTCATAACTCAAACTCTTTTCCCCCACATTTCACATCATTTCCACTTTCAGCATTAACCGTGCAATTTAAGATAATAGGCACATACAAAAGCAATTCAAGTTGTAAGCATAGAGAGGATTTCACATAGTTTGGCATAACAATCTCAATTTAAACTTGACTTGAAATTTAGGCATTTTAGCACATGGTTCACATTCTTCACACATCCTTAATTTACCAAAAATAGCATATTGAAAACATTGAGACACACCTTTCACATATATTCTTGCAACACCAATTCATATGAAATAGCAAGCACTACACCAATCAAATTTCAGAACTTACAACATTTGCATGGGCACCAAGGGAGCTCAATTTCTAAGAAGAGGGGGGTTTTAGCCATACATACCTGAAATTCGCCCCTTAATAATACTACGGCGTCCACCACACTAAACAACTTCAATCTACAATAGTGCAACACATTTGTAACTATACTAGTAAGATTTCTATACTTAAAGTCATTTAGACTTTTTATCAAACATCTAATGTGCATATCTTTCCACAACCTCCTTCAATGGAATTTCTTCACCTAACAACCACCTTCCATACCAATGATTCACCTTACCATTGTCTCTAGGCCATCCACAACTTCCATTAGTACATGCATGCCCAACAATTCACACCTAAACCATCAATCTCCTTAATTAACCCATTTGAAAATCTCCACAACACCAACACAGCCTAGGTTAGGCACTTATGGCTTCCAATCACCATCCCATAAGTCCTAACATATATTTCATACATAAATAATCACCATCGAGTAGTTAGAGATGATAGACATACCTCTTGTAGTATGAATCTTGAGAATCCCCAATTGTAGTTTTCTTGACCAATTTAGGGATTTGAATGGAAATCCATGGATTTTCAAGATTAATCCTTGTTAATATAAGTGTTTAGGAGTAGTAATCAACTCAAAATACTCCAAAAACATTACCCTGGATCATATGAGGGAAGTATGAGACGGATTCCCCTTGATAGAGCAAGCCCTAGCTCAAAAAATGACTTAGAGACTCTCTATGCCCGCTCTTGGGGGTATTTATAGGGCTGCTATGTGCGCGTTCGCGCTCGGGCCGCGCTCGGGAGGCAGAAACTTTCAAATATGCGCGGCCGCGCATCTAGCTGTGCATATGACACAGGTCCAGTAAAATGGCCATAACTTTCTATATGCATATCCAAATGAGGAACTATTTGATGCGTTGGAAACTAGACTCAAAGGGATTTAATTTGATACATATATATATATATATGTATATATATATATATATATATATATATATATATATATATAGATAAGCTCGTCCAAAGTTTGGTCTTGTGCGTACTCATTTGGAATTTTAGTCTATCATGTAATTTTCCAACTTGGCTTAGACTTAGGCCTCTCCTTAGACCCCAAATCACTTATAATATGATTTATACACTTATTACCATATCCAACTGATATCCATTATATCATTTATCCTCGTTTGCACACAAAATAAAATAATTAGCCTACCTTGGCACCACGAAATCTTAAATTACTTAGCAAAATTTTCCAGAGCTTTACAGGTGAATCACTTCGCCTGGGTGAGGCGCTTGGTGTCGCGTTCTCCTCGTCCTCCCCACGAGTTTCGTTGATGGTGTTCAAGAGATTGGCGGTGAGAATGGTTATCGCCTCTCTTTTCTTCTCCATTGCCTGCCATGTCAGATCTGTGCAAACAACGGGATACGAGACTATGCAGAGTTTTGTGCATTTTTCTTTAGATCTAGAAAACTGAAACTTTTAACTAGAAAATTCCAACAGACGATACCAAATTGTTTGATCAAAAAGTGTTTAACCTTTTTTGTTAAACTAATTAAGTAAATGATAATAGGTAAATTCTAGTTAAATATAATAAGTCCTAGATCCAAGATTGATTGGTAGTAATAACCTAGAAACCGCATTCAAAGCTATTAAAAGCCAAAAGGAGATTTAATGATATTCTTGTGAATAAATGACGGAATGAGGACAAGTAATAAATATGATGAATGGCAATAGCTGTAAATAAAGAGAATAATTCACCCAAATGTATAACGAGGTAGATGATTCTCCTTCTGACAATGATGTAAGATAATCAAACGTGGGAATATCAAATACTTTATCGGATCTGACGTGGAAAGCTTGGAACAACACAACAAATCCAATCTTGTATAAAGATAAAGTTTGTAGTTATGTGGGAGTCAACATTTTTAGAGAGAGCTTATCAAGATAGAAAATTAGATCCCCCCTCTTTCTCTCTCTATTCCTACTTATATGGGACATTCCCCTTACCTACTAAAAGTACAAATACAGAGAATATTCCTCTGCATATTCTTTAGAAATATCTTATTGCTAAACTAGCCATTTTGGCCGATCTGAGTGCTCGACCTCGACATTCACTGCTCGGCTCGCCAGTGTTGCTTCTTGAGCATGACCTCGACCTAATTGATTCTTGATTTTCCTATTTCAGGCGAGGTCCCTTCGATTAGATTTTGACCCATAAAATATCTTCATAATCTCATCTCAACAATAGAAAGACAATAGCAATGAAAAATTCAGAGAATATGGAGTAAGGAAGACGTGTTGTCCTCAAAGGCATGAGTATGCATACGAAAAAAATGTCGGTCGCTCAGCAGATTATGATGCATTTTATACTTTTGTCAAGTATAAATTGCAATTTGAAATAAAAAAAATCAACGGTAAGATAAAGTTAATAAACTAAAAAGCAAATATAACAAAAATGCTGCCAAAAAGAGCGCATTTTCAAAGCTTAATGATGTTCGGTCTAAAATACATATATTTAGTCAGTATTTGTCTCAAATTTTTTGATACTTTTTATCGTCGTTTGAATATTAATTATAGCGACTCGTACTTAATATTATGTTTTTATTTTGTTAGTACATTGGAGATGAAATTTAGAGAAAAATTGGATGAAAACTGGGAAGTTGCAAAATCGGATGAAGCACTCGCTGAATTTAAATGCACAAAGGATGAACTAATGATGGCTCATAATGACAAAAATTGGAGACTTTGTATACGGTCAAAATCCCTGAAGGCCGATTTTAAGGCTTCTATGGCGTTTCACCCCCGACATCGAGAAGATCGAAGTAGAATTTGAAGTGTAACCCCGAGGTGCATCCCTCGACGG